CATTTTGTAGTCACCGGCATCTGTGCAGAAGGGCCTGTGGAAGGAGCCACCAGTTAATTTGGCACTAGAGAATTTGTTTTGATTTTCTGCCATCTATTGGAAATGACCATTATGAGGGCTTGGCAAAAAGAGGTGATGACTGAAAATCATTTGTGTTGGTCCTGTGACTCCTGGAACCCGAATCTGGTCCGAATCTAAGTTGTGTCTTTTCCATCTTTACATCCATGATGCAAGGGTTTGCTGCATTGAAATAAAAATGGGGTAGAAAAGTGAATCCAGGGAGAATGTCCAGAGGCTTCTTAGCAGTGATCTGGGTCAGCCACGAGCTTCTCTTGAACAAATATGTAACTCCATTCTCCAGCCAAATGCTGACTGCTTTTTCTTCCCCTTTTCCTATTTTGGCGGAATGGCTGACATTTAAAATGAAAAACCAGAGCTACAGGGCTTTGGGGCTACTGTGGTTTGTGACAGTCTTCCAGCCCTTGGAAGAGGGAACGCTCAAAAGAAACGAGAGTGGAATGAAGATGAAATCAGTGAAAGGTTCTTACCTAGTTCTGATGGGTTGATTTCCTTTTTTCCCGCTTGATCACCTGGTGGCCTCTGAGAGCTGGAAATATCGACCTTAGCTTCTGAGGGCTTTGAGTAAGTACCATACTGTTCACATGATCTTCAGAAAAGTGACATTTAACATTTTTATTTTATCCACGGCTGTCTCTTTGAAAGTTCATGTTCTTAAAATTCATGATGTCTCATGCAAAATAAATGTCTGATTTAGTGTCAAGACTCGCACATTCATTACTAGGTTTTTGCATTAGCAGTATGGCTCCTATTGAACGTAGGGAACCTAACTATTAGTATTAAAATTGCCATTAGAATGGTTTTTAGAAAAATATGCTCTTCCCTTTGTAAATTTCCAGGGCAGAATTTTATTACCTCCCAAGTCTTGCAGGAACAGCTTTCTGGTCTCACCCACATTTCACTTACGGAGTGTGACGTGGGCTGGCGTTGGTAGGTGTGTGAGCTACACAAGAGTGCTCCACATCAGGGAAGCCTGTGTTGAGAGAGCTTCAGAAGAGACGCATCCAGGGCAATGTTTACATAGTCTAAGCCGGCGGTTGTCAACCCTGAGTGCCACACTCAGACCCCACCCGTGGACATTTGGGCTTAGTCTTGAATCTGCCCTAGTAACTAAAAAAACCCAGTAGAACCCCCTTGGCAGGGGCTGCAACGGAAGCCTTCAACACGGCAAAGGCGGACACCCTCCGACCCAGCAATTCTGCTTCAGGTTTATTCTGCAGACCGACACAATGTGTGAAAGTGTGCGGTGCTGTTTTAGATCAGAAGGAAGCTACTTGTCCACTGGTGGGGCCTGGACAGACGGGAACAAATTACCCTCTGTATAGTCGACCAGGATTCCCCAGTCTTGGCGCTGTTGGCATCTGGGGCTGGGTAATTCTCTGTCACTGGGGGTTGTCCTGTGCACTGTAGGGAATGTGGCAGCATCCCTGGGGTCTGCCCCCTGGATGGCAGTGGTACCCTCCCCACCAGAGGTGACAACCAAAAATGTCTCCAGAGAGTGCCAGGTGTCCCTGGGGGCCAATCGTGAGCCCCACGGTCTTTTATACTGATGTGGGGGCATGTCCAGGGTGTTCTAAGGAAAGAAAGGTACAGATAGCAAGTGTATAATATACTGCCAATTATGTAAAAAGGGAATGGAAATATATGTGTTTTTTTTAACATAATTTGCATGTATATTTATAAACTATTTCAGGAAAGACACCCAAGAAGCTACCAACACTGGTCACCCCTGGGAAGGGCAGGGAAAAGTGACTGGGGCAGGGGGATTCCTCAGTATACATGCTTCTATGTTCTCTGAGAATAAGCTCTGATAATTCTAACGGGCAGTCAGGTTGGAGAACCCCTGCTCTAAACCAGCGTTATCCCTTCTGATTGTTTTTTCTCAGTGATCTGGGAACAGTCCACCTGATGGTTTCTTAGCAAACCACAGCAGGATGTGTAGACAGCAGCCCTGTCAGACGTACTTGAGCGCTCTGTTAGGAACGGATACCTCTCTCAATCTGTGAGCGCTCGGCCTTGCACCGTGGGTGCCCCGTGGGCGGACAGAAAGCAATACTTGGGCAAACTCCCAACTTGCCAGTTGCAGACGGGGCACCTGGCTCTCCGCCTGCTCCCGCAGCCCCACGACTCAGCCAGACACGCGGTCCCCAAGCCGTCTTTTCACCCACCGCCCTCGCTTTTGGCAAGTCTACCCCACCCACCATCCGGTATCCCCTGGGGTTCCGCACCCCATTCCCCACCTGCCTTGGGACATCTGTCTTCTTTGCAGGGGACTAAGTATTGGACGTAGCGAATGCTAGAAAGAAATATGCCAGGGGGAAAAAATCCACACAAGAAACGTTGCACGATCTCGTCCTTAGCAACTTTGTTTGGTTAGTACTGCATAACTCACAGCAGATTCCAAGGCACTCGCCTTAAACATTGCTACATGCTCTAGGCATTGTCAGTAACAAGGTGCAATGGAAAACCACGGGCTCTTGCAAAGCTGTCTCCAGTTTCTGGGTGGGAGGACTGTCACCCCCATTTTCCGTTGCTTTGTGTCTGAGCTGGGCCACCTCGTCCTGTGACTTCCGAGGCCCTGCTTGTGTAGTTGACACGTCCTGTACATAATGCTACCACCATGACAATTTTATGAACGTAACTAATGAAAACCTACCACTTCCCTGCCTCCCACCTAAGTGTGACAAACGTGATCATAAAACCTCTACACACAGAATTTCATACAAAGCAAGTCAAACAGCAATTATAGTGGCAAGTGATGTATCTGGCGAAGCTTGTGTTACTGAAGTTAATGCAAAAGTCGACCTCCACTCGTGGTATTATTAAATATATATCCTAAGGGATCAGAGTCGTCTATTAGAAACAGTGATAGCCCTGGGTATAAATAAACGTTTCTTTAGAGTTTGGCATCAGTTTTTCAACGTGCTTCCTCAAAGCAGACAGTTTGTTTGAGGGATCAGTTTTGAGGGTACATCTGAACCAAGAGGTGTACCAGGTTGTGACACCTGGGGCGGCCAGGTTCCATTGCAGGCGCTGGCAGTGGGCACTTCAGGTCCGAGGACAGAGGTGGGCCACGGTCACAGGTGCTGCAGGGCCTCCTGTCCTTGCTCCGTGTAACCGTCGTCTCGGTGGGAGTTGGCCCACTGGCCAAAGGACTCGTGGATATGCACGTTTCTCTGTGTGCTGACCAGACGCTTCTTATCTCGGGAGAAGAAGCTAAACCTTTTGGAAGAGAAGGAAAGAAATGAGAGCCTGCCCTTGGCCGTGCGCTTCACGGTTTTTGCAATGCCAGGGACATACAGCGGCAAACGTGAAGGGAGCAAATCAACTCAAGGTGTGAATGGAAGAGTTATTCCAGAAAGCAGCAGGGGATTCTGCACGTCACTGCCATGGGACCTTGGAGGTGGCACGGTGCGGTCAGGGTGCACACGTATGTGATGTGTGATGCATCCATCTCCCGCATTAAGCACTGCTGGGGATTTCTTCTCATTATGAGTGGAAATAAAAAGCTACTGGGAAACATAAATCATGAGTCACTTTACCCTAGTGATGCAGAAAAAGTAATACTCGAAAGCCACATGGAGCGTAAGATGATTCTGATGTAAAGAGACGAATGTTTTAAATTTAAGTAATTATGTATTTATTTAATATGAATCGGGAAACCAGCTAAGTACATATCAAAGCCCAAACTTCATGGAGATTACTGCTGCTAAGAATGAGGTGAGAAGTGGACAGTTAAAAAATAGGACAGTTAAGATATGTATTAAGGGTACACATGGTTCTCTGATTAGATGAACACTGTGAGTGTAGTATGTGAATGAATTTTGAGAAACATCAAAATTGATGACAAAAACTGATTTAATAGTGAAAGCCTGGAGAAGTTACCACAGTAACTACATAGCAACAGTTAAAATGGACCAACGGGTCTTTTTAAGACAGATGTGACTTGATCACTGATCAGTCAGAGTGAACCATCTGATGCCTAAAAGATAAAGGCAGAAATCAGAGGCAAAAAGCTTACAAAGTGGTCCATTTAAAACGAGGTCGGCTTTAACTCTACCTGAACAGAGACTAGGACCCCAGCCAGTACACCTGAGCTGGCCCATTTTGAGTATTTCCCCTCGAAACCCTTTCTGAGCTGCCAAATGTCCTTCCATGCTCCCAGCCCCTAAAGGTTCCTTCTATTCTCACCAAGTTCCCTTACTCTTGAATTTTGGTTTTTGAACTTGGTAAGAGATACCGTCGCTCTGTTATGTTCTCCAGGGGCAGGGATAGGAATGAACCACTAAGAAATCAAAGCTTCAGATCAACTATTTTTAGTTCCCTCTGTCTGTTCACCTATTAGCTTTTTCTATTTTTTCCCCTTAGTGCTATAGCCTGTGGTTTCAGTCACATCTAGGTGAAAATGATTTTCCTGTTCTGTGGTTACTGGATCCTACAGTAGGTTCCCACCAGGAATAAAGTGGTCTTTCGTTGTAAAGGTGGGGCACACCAAATTGGCCTGGAAATTCTCCCTACAGCCAGTATGTGTACTAGCAAGTGAAGGCATGATTTCTTCATCCTGGGTTATTTGTGAGCACTTTTAATAGTGTAATCAAAGCAATCAGCTGGCCAAAAATACAGCGGCACCCATCACTGTTACATTTCACGTCTACCTGATTCAAGCAGGAAAGCCACTTGCCACTCCCTGTCCAAGGGGACACTGAGAGAATCAAGATGAAGGTCCCCTCCTCTGTTTTTCATTTTTTTTTTTTTTTTAAAAACAAGATCAAATGGCTCACTGATGATGGCTCGGCAAAACAAAGCGGTTTAGAAAGCCAGGGCGTGAAGATCGAAAACACAGCGTTAGTGTCACTCAAGGGGTGGGTCGTGGTGGGCGTTGATTACTGACCCGTCACTTAAAGGACCTTCTTTACTGGATCATGGACAAGGTGGTTTTAGAATGGAAACAGAAAAGACAAAAAGAATTATCGGTGACAGAGCCGAGAATTCCGAGGCTTCACTCGTGCCGATCGAGCGTCATGAGTGGCACGTCTGAAATCACACGCAACACCCACTTCAAATGGGGACACGCAGGTGATGGCCATGCAGCTAACGTGGCCAGAGGAGACAGGCCAGCCCCAGCAGTAGCCGCAGCAGACATTCCAAAGGCACAGCTCAAAAGAAAACCAGAAAATCATAGTGCCTACGAGGGACACAAGTCGTCGGACAGGCTGCAGTGTGGGGTCATCTATTATCAGTCCAGCAGCTACCATGGGCATTATGGCTGTAAAGATCCTGGTTAGAAAAGTACAGATAGACACAGAGAAGATAAAAACAGGGGAGGCATGAAAAAGAAACACACTCCACAGATCAGCTGAAGGGTTTGCTTATGGTTTATGCTATGGGTGGAACTATACCACTGCAACCCTTCCCGTTCATATTTTGAAGTCCTAACCCCCAGTACCTCAGAAAGTGACCTTATTTAGAAATAGAATCCTCGTAGATGTGACTAGGTTTGGTGAGATCATACTGGAGTACGATGGTCCTCATCCAGTGCGACTGGTGTCCTTATAAAAGGGGAAATTTGGACACAGACATGCGTATAGGAAGAAGGCCAAGTGAAGATGGAGGCAAAGACTGGGTGATGCTTCCATACATGAGCAAAGGCCAAAGATGGCCAGCAAACCACGAGAAGCTGAGAGAGAGGCAGGGAACAGATTCCCCCTCACGGCTCTCAAAAAGAATCGACCCTGCTGACGCCTTGATCTTGGACTTCTAGCTCCCAGAACTGTGAGACAATGCTTTTCCATTGTTTAAGCAAACTCCATTTGTGGTCCCGCAGCCCTAGCAGATGTATACAGCATGTGATGACCACCTAGGTTAGACAGGGGACCTCGAGGGCTGGAAACACAGGCCTGGGTGCGGGAAAGGGAAAG